AGAATTTGTACTTACAATAAAGTAGCCACAAAATTATTTATTTATGTAATATTTATGTAATAATAAATAAAAGAGATTACCTTTATGTTTTGCCATTCTGCAGGAGCTAAAGCATCAGGAATCCATCCCCACAGAGAAAGGAATAAACCTCAGTGCAGAGAAAGGCAGACACCTGTGCCATAAAAACACCTGGGGGGGTGTGTGTGTAATATATTTTATTGGGCAAATATAAAAAGCAGTCACATCAATCAAACCCTAAAGAGGCATTTGGAAGACCTTAGAGTACAGAAAATTAATTCTGGAGTACAGAGGCTTCTCCCTCCACCATCCATCAGAGCAGCAATGAACGCTCTCAAAGTTTGGCGGCTGCTGCCAACAGCTGTAAAGAGAACTGAGGCCATGAATTCCCCAAACAAGAGTTGAGCCCCTGCTGCTGACACAGCAGCTCTGCCAGTCCCTGCAGCCACCTCTGCTGCTGGAAACATCTTCTCATTTGGGGTGGGTTATTGGAATAACCCAGTAATTGCTTCTCAAATTCTCTGGGTTAAATCAAGGCTGCTTCTCGCCTCCTGCCACAGCCTTTGGGTGACCAAAGCTTTGCTGCCTTGTCAGCTGCCCATAAATTTTGTCACCACCTGTATTTTTATTTGTCACTCCACCTGGTTCATTTTCCTTTGTGTTGAACACCTTCCTCTGTCACTGCTCAACACCCCTTTACTTCCTCAAAATCTACAAATTCATATTCCAGCCAGTGAAAATATTTCTGCCTTCGCAGAAAAACATCACCACACCACCAGTACTTCCACAAATACAGTTCCTAACTTGTACCAGGAACCCTCAAGAGAATATTTCTCATCAGTTTTTAAAGCAGCTCTCTCAAACAGCCCAGTGTCTCTGTTCTCTGCACTGCTACAGCTCCAGTTTTTGTTGCTGCCCCATCAGACATTTTGGCCCCCACCCAAACTCCTCGTCCCTTGTTGCTGTCATGTGGAAAAAACTGTACTAATACTGTCTTAGCTGGCTCTTCATCTCGTTTTAATCCAAATTTAAAATATTTTTTATTCTCTTGCGAATGAATTTTCTTTATTCTCCCTCCTCCTGCAGCTCTGGAAAGTGTTAACTCTATTGCACACACAAATATTGTACTTACCAACTGAAAACACAAAGCTGCTCTGGCTTTTCTAAACAACAGAAAGAGAATAGAAAACAGATTAAGATATCCCATTACATAAAAAAACCCCAACCCTAATAAATTAGAATAAAATTTAATTTAGGCCTCCTATCATCTGTCTTAAGCTGTCTCGGTGTTTAAATTGTCCTTAAAGCCATTCTCTGAAACAGCTCAGGAGAAAATGTACTTGCAAAAGGCACACAGAGCTATGAGTTTGCTTTGGATGTCACCATTCAAATGAAGAATAAAAGCACAGATCTGCTGTGGGGCTGACAGCTCTGTGGATGGTGTCCTAACCCAGCTTCACTGCAGATGAGATAAGCAATGGTTTTATTAGGCAAATGCTGGAGAGGAATATGGTAATACACAAAGAAAACTTGGTTTGAGCTGTCTTTTGTTTCTGATTGTGAGCGCTAAGGACATTCAGATAGTGCTCCACACTAAGCCAGCCCATCCCAGTCCTTTCCTGGAGCTGACCTGGGACTGAAGGTTCTGGAATAACACCCCAGCCAAATACATTAGATAAACATACACAATTTCAGCTCAATTCTCATTACATTTCCATCCAATACTGGGCAACCACAGAGTTAAAATTAGATTTTTTTTTTTTATATCCTGACTTGAAACACTTTGTTCTACACCAATCCATCACTGGCTGTCAGTACTTTTAAGAGCAGTAAATGCAAAATATTTTACCAGACAGCAGGACCTTAAGTGGGAATTAAAACACAATAGAAGTGTGACACATCTGTGCTGCTGGTGTCTGTCTCAGTGGTGAAAATTCTCTGCTTTAGTTTTACACTTTGCTCAATAAACTGAAATTTAGTTACAGTATAAGCAAGGTTAAATGCTGCTGTCTGTAGGCCAAGAGAGAAGTAACAGAGTCTTCAAATGAGAGGGGGTTTTTCACATCTATTTGCTCTCTCTTGGCCAGGCACCAAGCTTTCATATTCATAGCAGCATAAAAAGCAACCAAAACAACAACAAAAACTCCTGCTGAGACTATTAAAGTGTCATTTTCAGCAGCAGGACTCCATAAATCACAGAGACATCCTCACCTCAGGTTCTGCCCCTGCAGCCACTGCAGCTCTGTGCTCTCTCAGGTGACTGCATCAGCTTTGGTATGGACAAGGAGACCCCTGCCCCATTCCCTGCCCTACTTTTAGCTCGGGAAACATCTTCCACGAGGATTTCATGTGCCAAAGCAGAGCTCTCACTCAGCTTTGCTCCTTCTATCCCCTGCCTTGGGCTGTGGATGATGAGCTGCAGGTCCAGCTCCAGCCTGGGCTCATCCTGGGTACACTCAGGCCCCTGGAGTCCAGCAGTCTCACATCATGGAAAAACAGAGGCTCAGCCAGATAATCCAGTCCCAGGGAATAAACTCAGGTGTCTGGGCAGGTAAAACACAACCCTTGGTTGGCCTCATTAGGAAAAACAAAGTTCAAATTGATTCCCAGCTCCTGATCTGAGATGTAGGGGAGATACTGGGACACGGATCAGCCACACAAACAGAAAGAGGAAATATCAAAACATACCAGCACACATCTTTTGGGGGTTTTTGTGTTAAAAGGGAAAATTATCAAAGCTTTCAGGACTAAAATAATTCAAGGTTAGGAGCAGCCCCTGCACTTCCAGCTGCAAAGATGCTGTTCCACATCCCACTGGAGGGATTTGGCATCAAAGAGTCTGGGCTGGAAAACAGGATGGAAAGAGGAACTGCTCTTGACAGCATCTGCTGGTTCTCATTTAGCAACAATAAACTGTAATTCTGCTTTTAAAAGGCAGCATGTTTCACCTTTGCATTTCAGAGGCTTTATTCACTAGATTATAAAGTAAATTTCATCTAAACCGCCCTATTTAAACAACATCCTTGGGGCAAAAAAAAAAAAGAAGTGACACCCTTCAATTCCCATTGCTATTGCAAGATATTTCTGCTGAAATGGGGGAGGAAAAATGGGGAAGAAAGTTCTCTGTAATGCCACTGATCAAATTCTTTTAAACTGCACACAGAAAACTCTCCTCCCCTGAAAGACTTAATAGCAAAGCTGCAAAAAGTACCTATGTATTAAGGAGTCTTTATTAAATATCCAGAATATGATATGTGGTATTTATTCCTTTCCCAGAGTGCATTATCATCAGCACTTGCACAATAATATATCATTTAAATCAATAGCAAAGTTCTCATCAATATCTTTGAAAGCAGCTTATACCCTAATTTACTAAAAGCACTCATCTGCAGAGTGTTTCTGTTATTTATTAGAATTAATTAAATCCTTCTGTATTATGTTAAAATGCACATCTTGTAAGTCCTTGAAGGCCTGAGTGAAAAGAAAAAATAAAGTTTTATGGGCCCAATTTTAGCAGAGATAAATAATGTCAATCAGTCAACAACCTGGTCTGTGAAAACATTTATTTCAAAATATTTCATTTTCAAATAGTAAAATGTTCTTCTTGATTTGGTAACATTTTAATCTCCTTTCTTGCAGTACACATACCAAAAAGGGAAAACAAATAAAAATTGCTGTGGTATGACAATTCAGATTTGTTCAGTGAACCAGGAATATTGCTGTCCAATTCTCAGTGTTCGGGAGATGAGCCTGTACTGCAAATGAGGAAATCAGAGTGCTACTGCTGCTAAATATGTGGAAAATAAGGAAAATGCACAATAATAGCAATTCACATATTTGTGATGTTTTAAGATTTATTTTACCCCCAAAAAAATCCTTCATGTTATTTTAAGATTAATTTTATCAAAAAAAACCTTTGTGGGGTTGAACTTCCAATCCCCTCCTGACATTTCTGCCTTATTGAGTAATTTGGGGCCCGTTCAGGAGAGGCAGAGATCTCAGTCAGTGGTGGGGAGTTTGCAACAACAAGCAGGGAGGGACAGAACACAAAATCAAACAGGGTGGATTAGAGGGATCCATGAAGGTCAGAGGAAAAGTGGAATCCAAATGCGGCTGAACGACCTAACTGAGCATGAAAACTGGACATTATCAGCATCCTGGTGATAACTTCCCTCTGGAGCTAAAATAAAAAGTGTTATTTAATATTTGTATTACAGTACAGCTCAGCTAAGATTAGGAAACTATTTTGCTACTTTTGAGTCCTCAGACTTGGAGCTACTTTACATCAGCAATGTTTTTCTTCCACCACCTTCCAAGGCCACCTCTGGTGCCCTTGAAGGATTAGAACTGGCACCACTCTGGGATTTTTTTCATGTGTTGAGTGTATTTTAACTGTGGCAAAAGCTGTTAAAGCCTCCCAAGACCTCCGTGCTCATCCACAGAGCGCGTGGAAAGAGTCTTTGCGTCTCTGACTCGCTAAAGCCCTGCAGAGAGCACAAAGGCAGAGTAGTGCCTGCAGCACCCAGGGGTGCAGGCTTTGTGCTGGGATTAACTCCCACATGCCAGCCCTGCAATCACAGCCACAGCAGCCACAAGGTCAGGCTCAGCTGCTCTTCCCAATTATTCCCCAGCCCGGACAAGAGCAAACACCGGGACTCCAGGGCTGGACTCAACGCTGAAGTGCAAAAGCTGCTCAGCTTCTCTTCTTGGTTTCATCGCTGCCATTTGAAAGATTTTGGGTGATTATTTTTTTTTAAAAATATATTTTCTTGAGCCTCACTGGAGTTATTAAGCCACCCAGAGTGGGACAAGCAGCTGGACACCGAGCCTGAACTTTTAAACCCAAGAGCTGTGAAATACTAATCCTGGAGAGAGGCAAAATGGATCTGCTCAGGTTTAGGGGGCCAAAATGATCAATCAGCACACAAAGGACTCCTTCCATCACTAATGTGCTTTTGCTGGGACTAATACATGTAAGAAAAATGGAGTTTTTAACCTTTTCTCCAGAGAACCACTGCTTTTCAGAATTACTCGACGGCAGCGACGGGGATGAAGAGGAAATACTTGTCTGTGGAGAAGATTTAGAGCTTAATCCTTTTGATGGCTTGCCTTACTCCTCCCGTTATTATAGGCTGATGAAAGAGAGAGAAGAGCTTCCAATATGGAAAGAAAAATGCACTTTCATGGAAAGTTTGCTTCATAATCAAATTGTGATTGTGTCAGGAGATGCTAAGACTGGCAAGAGTTCCCAGGTCAGTACAATGGATTTGGTTGGGGTTTTTTTTATGTATTTTTAAAACATTTAATGAGGTCTGAATTTCAGAGTCCCTATAGCTATTGTGATCCAGGTATTAAGGCCAGAAGGGGAAATACAGAAGGTGAACAAAGATTAATGCCATTAAATACAGACTTAAAATATATTGAACATTTTAATAACTTCCTTCAAGCACTCAAAAAAAAAAGTGCAGTTATTTAGTGTTTTGGTTCTGATTAGTGCTACATCAGGAAAGAAATACAGGGGACTTGTCATAAGATAAAGTGAAAAAAACTCCCAGGAAATGAAGGATTGAAATCAGCAGAGCTGCTTCTCAGGGAGAATTCATGGTCTTTCCCTCCCTTCAGCCAGGAGCAAATGTTTTCTCCAACAGCACAAAATTACTTTACAAAACTCATGTTAAAAGAAATCACTGAAGCCAGGATTTCAGCTGAGTCTAAGTACACAAACATCAGTCAGGACTATGAAATTCTGCTGTAACAATCTATAACAACTCAGACCTGTTGTCACAGTGAGTAGAAAAGAATTTTCAAGTGAGTGCTATCAGCCAAAATACAATTGTTTATGACTGGGATCAGGAGAAAAAATTCTTGCAGGTAAAGCTGAAGGATAATTACTGTTGCAGGGCATCTCACATATCCTACAGACTTTGATGCTGGACACTTCTAGAGATCACATGTTGAACTAGAGACAACACGTCTCTCCCTGAAACATGCTGCGTTTCCATAAAAGTGATCCACACACAAATAATTTTTGGATTGCCAAGTTTTTACCCCTAGTTATTGGCTGTAATTTACACACAAAACACTTGTGTAATAGTAAACAGTTTGCTAAGAAGTGTTAGCTTTTAAATTGTCCTTTAACAAAGCCAATTCTATTGAACCTTTAATAAGATATAGCATATTGCTGGTTGGTTTTTAAATATTTCTAGAAATGCATATAGCTATACACAAGTAAATTATATGTAGCTGATTCACCTAGGTTTAGATGTTGGTTAAATGAAGGATTTGAAACCTAATACATCCATTAAAATATTATTTCTAATGCAATTTTAATTTCCCATAACAACAACACATGGATATTTTCCAGTGTTGATGTTATGTAAATATAAAAATTAGGGAGCTGCCGTGTAAGTTCCTGGAGCAGATCAGATTCAGTTCTGTGTTTGCAGAGTAATTCATCTGAAATTACAGCTATTGGCTGTGGCATTTGCCAGTTTGAAATCCTGGGATAAGTTTCTTTCATGGATATGACACAGCAGGAGCAGGTTTGCTGCCAAGCCAGCCCTGAACACTCCCGCACCTACCTCGCTGGATCCATCAGCAGTGGATCCATCAGTGCTTGCAGTGACCCTGCTGTCACCTGCTCCCCAGAGGCCTCTCCTGCAGCAAATCCCACCCAACCCGAGTCCAGCTGAGCAATTCCCAGATAAATCCACGCTGAGAATTTAAGAAATTCCAATCGTTGACACGGGTCGCTCCTGCGCGGCGCAGGCCCTGGCGAGCGGCGAGCGCTGGGCTTGGTTCGGCTGTTCCACGCCGCTGGAGAATTCCAGCCGGCTGGAATGGCATTGCCTGCCGAGCACGTGGGGCGCTGATGGCGGTGTTTTGGTGTCCACAGGTGCCTCAGTGGTGTGCTGAGCACTGCCTGGCCCTGCGGCCCCGCGGGGCCGTGGTGTGCACGCAGGTGCTGCGCCAGGCCGCCGTGGCGCTGGCCCTGCGCGCGGCCGACCAGATGGACGTCAACCTCGGCCACGAGGTCGGCTACTCCGTGCCCTTCGAGAGCTGCTGCACGGCCGAAACCATCCTGAGGTCGGTGCCTTTGGAGGCCTTCGGGCCAAGGGGTGGCTGGAGAAGTTGGCAGCTGACAGCACTTTTTCGCAGAGCTTGCACATGAAAATCAAGGCCGCTTTGTCAAGTTTTATCGTGTTTTAAAATCGCAGGGTGCGCTGAGCTGGAAGGGACCTCACAAGGATCATCCAAGTCCAGCTGCTGGTCCTGCACAGACACCCCAACAATCCCAGTCTGGGCATCCCTGGGAGCGCTGTCCAAACTCCCGGAACCATTCCCTGGGGAGCCTGGGCCCTTTGGGGAAGAGCCTTTCCTGATATCCAACCTAAACCCCCTGACACAGCTCCAGCCGTGCCCTCAGTCCTGGACACCACAGAGCACACATCAGTGCCTGAGCCCCTTTTCCCCTCATACAGAAGTATTAGACTGCAATGAACTCTCTCTTCTCCGGAGAATTTATGATTAAACAATAAACACTAAAAAGTTTGAAGTAATTCTGGGGTAAATCATAGCAGAGATTTAAGTGGGCATGGTTACTGTCCCTGCAAAACTTCATTAAGCACCTTGGTGACCTCTTTTTTCTTTTCCTCTACTTTTATTTTTTTTTTTCTATTTTCCGGGAGTGTTCATTACCATAAGAGAACATGGGATAATTTTTCCCAAAGTAAAGTTAAAATTCAAAATGAACCAAAATACATGGCTAGAAGAGGGTATATCCAACAACAAGAGGAAAACAGTATCCAGGGGGATTTTTGGGAGATAAGAAATACACTTAATGTAGTAAGTACAGGCAGGTGACAGCAGCAACAGAGGGATTCAGCTTTAGAGCCTCCCAGGAAGTTATGAGAGTTATTTTTCTCTGGTTCCTTAACATGGAAGGCACAAACTATCATATCTAGACCTCAAGATTTTTATTCAGCCACTGTTTTCCAGTGGAGAAGAGGATACTCACCACTTCTGAAAATCAATTTCCACCTCTCCTCCTCTTGCCTGTCCTTTCTCTTTCTGTGGAGAACTCCTTAAACCTCATCCTGCAGCAGAACTTCCTGTGGCTGCTCCTGTTGAGAGGGAGATGAATCCCTTCCTCTTGCACATCAAAACCTGTGTCAAGAACTCCAAGTCCTGCTGAGCAGCACAACAAAAATAATATCCTTTAAAAAAACCTGTCAGCAGCAGGGACAGAAGTGAGGAGGGCCTTATGGTATAAATTAATTGCTCATCTTGGTTCTGGCTCTGCCTCAAGTGCACCTTTCTTTTCCTCACCCAAAAGGATTCATTCCTGGCTCAGGAATTGTTTATGGCATGTGATGGAAGATGAACAGATGATTTCAGGGCAGAAGTATTTCTGCTTTTGCCTGGAGCATCCATTTCCACCACTGTGTCACTGAGTCACGTCAGGTTTGTAGCTACTTAAGGAGAGATTTAAACATGTAACTGAGGCTGTGATATGTCCACAAAATATTCCCTGTTCTTACCAAGTCTTCTGTGTCAGAACAGAAAGAACCAAGCTGCCCCCAAGACACTGAAAGAATGTCTTACAATGATAGTCCAAGGAACTTGGTGGAGTTTTGTGTGTCCGTGTTGCAGGTACTGCACGGATGAGATGCTCCAGAGGGAAATGATGTCCACGCCCCTTCTGAACAGCTATGGTGTCATTGTCTTGGACGATGTGCATGAAAGGACTGTGGCAACAGATGCCCTGCTGGGCCTTCTGAAAGATGTCTTGGCAGCCAGAGCAGAGCTGAGGCTGGTGCTCCTCACTGTCCCCCAGATGTGCAGCACCCTGCAGGGCTTCTGCGGCCGCGTCCCCGTGATCCGAGTGCGGGGCAGGCACCGCGCCGAGGCCGTGTTCTCCTGCAGTGCCCACCAGGACCCCTTCTCCTCTGCTCTGAGGCTGCTCCTGGAGATCCACCACACCAAGGAGAAGGGGGACATCGTCGTCTTCCTGGCTTGTGAGCAAGTAAGGCATTTACCTGTTCTCCTTCTGATTTTAATCAGGAAACGTGCGTTTTTATCTGACCTATAAATGTCTTGCTGCCACTAGCTAAGACAGCAGATGTGCCACCAGGTTTTATAATTTCAGGCTTTTCCTTTAAAGAAGTCATGGCATACATAACACTGTGGTTTATATGCATAAAATAGCTGTATAACACATAAATATCGTGTAGTTATTATCTGTATTTTCTGTAGGTTCAAAGAAAGACCACCATCTTTCCATGTGATGCAAAAAGCTGTAAAAGCAGCACCGAGGGGCACAGGCCACAAGGGCAGGGATTTAATACATTGCAGCCTATCCTGGCACTGGACATCCCACAGTTTGTGTTATCCCTGTTTTGTGGGAATGGACACACGGACACAGGTCCAGTCTCCATCAATGTCCACAGGAGTGCTTTTATCTTAAACCTTCCAAGGAGATTTTTCCATTTGGATTCTTCTTCCCAACCAATTGTGTGCACAACTGCAGGAGGACAGTGTCACTCCAGAGGTGTGACAGAAAATCCAGGAATCTGCATGGGCTTGGCCATTCTAAATAGTAACACTCTCTGTAGACAGCAGTGATTCCTTAAATTCACTGCAGGTCCTTTAGAGCTGTCAAAACAATCTGAGAATCAAAGAAATATTTCAATATTTATGATTATTACAATTATTTTCCTGATAGCGATCCCCAATCTTCCACATTTAATGTGTCATTAAATCTGCTTTAGAACAACAAACTTACCAGGAAATAATGACTTTTCACAAGCAAAGATAATTAACCATGAACTACCCAGGTGTGTTTGCTGCTTTTCACCGTTAAAAGGGGGACAGATATGAAACACTTTTAGTAATCAATTTTAGACCTTATAAATGCCAATTTTACAAATGATAAAGCAATGAATTCTCTGTGTTAGTCCCCATATTAACAATAGATAATGTCACAGAGAAAACACACACACTTTCCATTTCAAAAGGTTGGGAAGAACGTTTTAGTTCTGCTTAAAAGGGTTGTTTTGAGAGGTAAATTCCCCACAAAACTAAAATAGGAATTTCTTTCTTGCCAAGAAGAGATAACTCATTTTTCTCCCTCACAATGAACAGAACACTCATTACGAACCAGAACATCCCATGAATTCTTGTTTAACTGTGATTTAAAGTTTCATATTGGTAATGGTTCACTGTTCTCAAGCACTCAACTGTCTTTTAAACTAAACAAAAATAGAAATTAACCAGGAACATCAGGATTTATGAGCTGCCCTGCTGCCAGCCTTGCTATTAGATGTCATTCTTGTATCTTTATAACAATTTTTATAGAGCACTTTCGACCTATAACTACTGGAAATGTAGTGTCACTCTCAAAGAAAAACTCAGTCTCAATTTTGCAAAACATTGGCTAATAAAAATGCTTTTAAAAAAAATTCCCTTTCAGACTGAGCAAGCCCATGAATTATTTTTGTGTGCCTTTCAAAAAATCGTGCTGAACAGAAATGTTTTCTTATTAAGCCCCCCCAACAGCAAAACAGTAAAACAAAAACAAAAAGCTTTTACAATTCATATCCAATCTCTGGATTTGTGAACTATTTTTAAGGTGATGATCCATCAACACAAGTTTGAGACATTTTATTGACTTTATTAAGTCTTTATAGAGTTTATTAATCATTAGGAGGGAAAAAATCAAACTTTTACAATACTTACATCTCCTTATATAAAATAATTAAGGGAAAGTAGGGAGGTTTCTGCATATTTTGATCATTTAAGGTGTTGTAATTAATCTAAGAATATAATAATTTCATGAGGAAAAAATGTATTTCTCTCGATTACAGGAAATTGAAAAAGCTTATCAGATGATCAGGCAGGAACAATCCAATTTAAACCCTGACCTTGGAGAACTCATCCCCATCCCTTTATACCCCACCAAACAAGACCTGACTCCCAAAGTAACTCAAGACAAGCAGAAATGCTGCAGAAAATACAGGAGGAAAGTGCTACTCACCACCAGCTCTGGAGAATCTTTGATCTGGACTAAAAACGTGACTTTTGTCATCGATGTTGGTGTGGAGAGAAGAAAGGTCAGTGAAGGGAACCAGAAGCACTTTGTCAAAAATAAACTCTGCAAAAGAGCTTTTTCAGGGCAGGGGAAAGGGAACTGTGCAGCTCAGATTAATATAAATAGTCTCTACAGGATCACAGGCTTTTCTCTTCTTTCACAGCATGGGTTCTATGATATTTTAAACATGTAAGTTAATAGAATTTAAATAATTTTCATGGCCATCTCATGTGAAAACTAAGCAAGAAATCACTATTACTTCCCAAATTCAATCAGGAATCGGATTTTTGAAGTTTCTAAAGCCAGATTAATGCTTCCAGTTGAAACTGCCACTCATTTGGGCACCAAACCAATGACAGATTATTTGCAAAATACATCTCACCTGAGCTCTGGCCTATCAGTCCTAAATCTCTCTTCAGTATTTTATACATAAAGCAAAATACAATCACTTCTTAGGCATCTATTGGCAGATCTCCAGGTTTAGGAGATCATCCTCATCCCTTACTAAATGGCTTAGTAATTGTTCATACAGGGAATCTCTATTTTTTCAAGCTGCTTGTGCTCCCTCCTGGACATGTGCTCCCATCCAAGTACCTCCAAATGCTGCAATTTATCTAATTAATACTTAACCTTTTCCAGTTCATTTGAAGTTTGGCCTCATTTCTTGTTTTCCACCATGGGAAGGATTAGTGCAGCTGCAAAAAAAGAAAAAAAAAAAAATCTCATTTATTTCTCCAAAACTGATGTCCAAAGGAATGAGTAACTGTGTAGGAACATGAACTGCAGAGCTGCATTACTACAGGTTTTTGTAACTGTCCTGGTTAAAATAAAAATTCCAGAAACAGGCAAAAGAAACAATGCCATACATGTCCTTTCTATAATACAAAGGGGAATAACCAAAATTGTAGTTAAGTATTCCTAAAATTTTGGAGCAGGGATCATTAATCCAGATTGGCTTTGCAAGCAGTTCAGGGAAAAGCTTGTGAACCACCAGTACCTTTCATTTTCATTGCAAAAATCTGTCATTTTAAAAGGTTTTTAACTGGGAATTATAAACTAACTCAGTCTCAAGGCAAGCTAAAAATCAGTCACAGCTTGGAGAGCCTAAAAGCAGTTTTCAATTAGACCATGCTTATTTCTTAAAGTTATTCCTACAACTGCAGTTTTCTTGGGATGGCAGAAATGAATTTCACTCCCATGGTAACCTGAAGCCCAAAGTACAATTCAACAAATTGAAAATTTTGTGAGTTTAAAATACAAAGCAATGGGAACAAAACAGATCCAACAGTCCTGATAGCTGTCAAATCACTTCTATCAGTGATGCAATTTTTTACCTTTAATTCAACTATTTTGTTTAGTCCTGTGACATCAGTTCACTCTCTGTGGCTCAAACTCAGCTGAGCACAGAGGGAACAGGAAAAGTTCAGTGCAGAGCAAAATCCCACCTGAGCCTTGCAGCTGGGATATATCAGCAATTCACCTGCAGGAAAAGAACATTTTGCCCTGCACTGAAGGATATTTTATCTTTTTTTAAATGAAAATCCTGCTTAAAGAAGATAGAGTTGACTCAGATGACAGGAGCTGCCTTACCCAGGTACTTTTATGTCTTGCTGGACATTACAGACTCATGGCCAGAGCAGTGAGTGAATCAGCTCCTCAGCTTAATCAAAATAAAGCATAATTAAGCAAAATATAAAACATGGCATCATATATCTCTAATACAGCCCTCATCTCCTGTAATTTCAGTATTAAGACAAAAATCTGGAGTTAGGGAACAAAATGCTGTTAGAAAATGTTGGGATTCTGTTACTGGAAGAAAAAAATAATCTTTTTTGATGTTTCTCTTGATGACACCATTTTCTGCTTTAGTAAGGTACATTTCTTCAGGAAAAAAAAAGACATTTATCTCAGAGCACACTTAGAGTGACTGCAAAACATCTATCAACTTGTCAGGGTGCTCTCCTTTCCAAGCTGCTGAGGAAAATAGAAATGAAAACTGTTGCTACCCATTTTGTAAAATGAACTAGAGAGAAATTCAGTACAGACCATTCATATTTTTGCAGCCCTTGTGTACTTATCTGATGTTTGATATCTCTTTCATTTAAAGGTGTACAATCCTAGAATCAGAGCAGACTCTGTTCTAACCCAGCCTATCAGCCAAAGTCAAGCAGAGGTGCATAAACAAATTCTGGGCATGTCTCCATCAGGTAGAAATATTAGCTCAAAATTTAAATCCATTAGCTCAAATTATTAATACAATCAACGTGGCAACACGAGGAGGAAGCATTTTTAAAAAGGGTAATTCTCCTGAATTGTCTTCCAGGGAAAATCTTCTGCTTGTATCCTGAAGAATTTACATACAAGGAAATGAAGCCACAAATTCCAGCTAAAGTTCAGGAATCCAACCTCACCAGCTTGGTCCTGTTCCTGAAGAGGATGGACATAGCAGGCTTTGCACACTGTGACTTCATCAGCAGCCCAGGTAAGAGGATGCACCAATTTGTCATATTTTATTATTATTTTAGAAGTTATTTCCAGGTTAATTTTGCCCTGTCACTCACAGGATTGCTTTTTTATTTAAGGACTTGCAATAATATCACCCTGCTTTTCCCATTTACCTGCTACAGCAGTGCTCAATAGCACTTAGAAAAAAGACTATAAAGTATCTGAATGGAATTGGAATGTTAAAAAAAATAAAAATCAATATTCCAAGTATCTTCTCATCTAGCTCACATATTATTTTCCTGCAACCCACAAAGAAAATTTGTGCCCTGTTGTACAAGGCATTGTACAGATATCCAACAAAATAGATTCCTTTAATCAAAAGTTTACAACCCAAATAAAGCACTGTTGTTACCTGGGGGATGTGAGTGGAGGAAATGAGCTTCCTCCTTATCCTCCAGCATCTCCCACCTCCAATTTACAATGGGCTGTTCCTTAAGGACAATATTCCTTATAAAATAAACCCAAATACATTTTCAATACTGGGCAGGGAAGACACTGAATTCTGAGGTAGGAAGGAAGTTGCCTTTTTTCCCCCCCCAACTTCATAATTTAGGGTTTTTTCTATAAAAGGATATTTTCCTCTGTTCTGGCTTAGCACAAAACCCAAGTGTCACTGCAGATTCTGCTGTTGCTTTGAAGCTCATTAAAGTGGGGGAAATAGCCCTGATTTCATTGGTTTGGGGATTGCTGCCTTCACTCGTGATAATTTTCCAGTGCAAACAGGAAAAATTTATATTATCCAGCCTTTCCTTGTGCACAAACACAAAATTGGAAAGATCTCTTCTGTGTTGTTCACTGTAATTAATCAGTAATAAAGTGTTAATTCTCACTGTCAGATGGTGCAATAGAGGTTAAGTGAAATTTTTAAGAAGAATTTATTCTACTTTTCCCTTGTGTGTCTGTTTAGCAGAAACATGCCTAAAAGAAATAGGAAAAAAACATGGCCAGTCTGATGGTAATGAGTTCAAAACCAATGAGAATTGGAGTATTTTGGCCTTGTGAGTGGCATCTCCTGTGCTAAATCCACAAAATCTGCATGGAAAATGCTGATGAAGTCCAGTTTGCTCCCACTCAAATTTAAAATGTATTTTACTATTAAAAAAATACATGGTAAAACATATTAATGTTTTTCCTGGATACGAAGAAAGTTAGTCTTGAACTGTAGAAGGAAATAGTAAAATTATATGAGGGAAAGCATTTGGCATTTTTGGATTTAAAGGCACAATGGGGACAGCATTTAGAGAGAATGAAATGCTAGAGGCACATAAAGGTTTCACAGATGCAGGAACTCTAAGGTTTGGCTGTATTTTTGGATAATGCAGCTGAAGAAAGAATTGTCCTGGTGTGTAGAAAATTATAAAGGCATCTGATGAGTGAATGAAATGGCTTTACTTGGATGGACATTAAATATGACAAAGCTTTTGCTGACTGGATCAAGAGTGTCAGGTGCAGGTATTGAATAGTTTTAGGAATCACTGCACAGTGGGTGGAATGCTGGATGAACTGCTTGAACAAAGGAAAAATCCCAAAAACACTTCAGGGGTGCTCTGAAAGGAGAAAGTCTGCACCATTTCCTTGTCTGCTTCCTGCCTTCCACAGTTAAACATTTGAGACAGAAATTTCATGATCCAGCATAGCTCTCCCTTGATCCAGGACACATCACACATCAGCTTTCTTCCCACTTTGGGGCAGGCAGGGAACTTTTTTCCTACCAGCACTTGGACTGATCCCTACACAATCCCCCAGAGAGGAGTGTGAAGATCCCACAGTCAGAACACAGAGTTTGAAATGCCTGCTGTGAAATTCTCTGAAAGAAACTGAAACACCAAAGGGAGAAATTTGTCGGGGGACTTGTGTTAGATCAACTCACGGAACTCAAAACACATCAGGCTTTCTTTCAAGCACACAAACACAAGAATGGTTTGGGCTGGAAGGGACCTTAGAGATCATCCAGTTCTGCCATGGCTTTGACTATTCCATGGCTCTTCACCTCCTTCCTTTGAGTAAAAGGAGTAAAACCATTGCAGCATCTCCTGTGTGCCACAGGCTTTCCTCTGCACTGTTTTTCTCCAACAAACATGCTCAGCTTGTCTTTGCAGTTGAAACAGAGGAAGGCTTTAGGGGTTTTTAGGGGTTAGGTGAATTTCTCCCAAACAAAATCAAGTTTTCCCTGAGTAAGACACAGGCATGAGCTGGTGAACAAACAAATCAGAAGGAGACCAAAATTCATAGCAAGAAGTACTTCTCAATCTGTTTTCTACACATGGAGAACATGCAGCAGATAAGAAACAAAAATTCCATCAGTAAAACATTTAATTTCTGCTCAGCAACAACGTGCACAAGGGATTTTTTTTCCTTTTTTCTGCTGCTCTTTGAGGAGAAATAAAAGCCTGGATTAAGTCTGACTCATTACTGCATTGTGAAAGCCACAAACATGTCAGGCTTACAGCTGCTGCATTTAATTCATGCCATAATCGAGAGGAGCAAATGCAGCAGAGCTTGTTCCCCTTTCTGGAATTCATGAGCCAGAGGAAAACGAATCTGGCACTGCAGCTCCAAAGTGCATTAGCGGGATTCCTGTGCCCCTAGAGCAGGGATGTGGTTACATTTTCATCAGTTAATCAGATAGATCTTTGCTGGGGTTTATAATGGGACAAAAGAATTCCAGTGCCATAGATTGTAGCAACATTGAGCACTTTTGTAAATCACTGGAAAATCCTTATTTAAACTAAGTAAATCATTATAAAGATGAAGCCATGAAAAATTTCTCTGTGGAATCAAGGGGAAAGCATTTGCAGATTCTGCATTCATCCAGAATTTCCCTAAACAATTTTCAGATTAAAGGATGTGTTGACAGTCATGACATTTGAGAGCTATGCTTTTACAACCCCCTGGAGAATATATTTCTAGAAAATTCAGAATAACAACAGCTGTATAAATTTATATAATTTCAAATTGTTTCAGAAAAATAAATCGTTGGCATATCTTCACTGGAGACTGTCAAAGACAGAAACTCAATGCACAATGTAAGGTCTGTCAACAGAGATCACTTCAGGGCAGATTTATTACCTTAAATTTACTTGTTAATTCTTCGATGTTTTAAATTCTGGGTTTCATCAATTAAATGATGTGTGCAGACATTATTCAGTATATTCTGTCAGGATGGGGCAGGTCAGGCCCTGGCCTGACAGTCCCTGCTGGCAGAAAAGCACAGCAGGGACCATCACCAGCCACACTGGAGGAGTGATGAAGCAGCTGAGGGGAACAGAAAGACTACAAAGTATGAGTTTGGGAAAGGAATTTTTAATGATTAACTATCATTTCCAAATAATAGTTATAGAACTGGTGGCTTCAGAGCAAAACAGACACATAAAAAATCCTGACTCAGAAGGTACAGGGGGAAAAAGAAAATCAGAAGGAAACCTGCACAGAGAAACTTGTGCTTGCAGAAGAAAAACCTTGGCATAATTTGAGGAAAACTTGGCAAAGTCTCCTCCATCTTTTCAGTTTGCTGTCCAAGGAGCAATGTTAGAAACCAGCAACAGCAAACACCATTCCCCAGGACTGTTCTCCCTGCAGTAAATTACTTTGGCAGCTCTTTCTGCTGTTCAGCCCAAGAGAACCTGCAAAACCTGTGGTGTGCCAGGCAGAGCATCAGCTCTTTAAAGACAACATCCCTTCACCTGACACCCATGGCAGCTCTTTTTAAGTTATTCCCATGGAAGGAAAATATCTATCAAAAAAAGGTATTTTACATACTCAGCATTTGCAGAGCAGGAGACCAGAACACAGGAGCTGTGAATCTCCCAGAGAAGCACAAAAGAGCAGTTAAATGGACTATAAAAAATAATGAAATTTAAGTTTTATTCTTATCCCTAATATTCACTTATTACAGAACTTTGACCAAATCCCTAAATCACTTGCTTCCTAATGCAACAAGAATAATACTTTTGAAGGTATTTGCTCACACCTTGAGCGCTTGCATTTCAGCCATATGGGATGTGGTTCTGAAGACTACAGGTATACCTGCCTTTGGAGACACAATTTACTCTGTTCACATCAAAGTTACAAAAATATGAAACCAAGAATACAATTTTAAGTAGCTTGGAACTCTCAGATAAACTATTCCAGTGCTAACAATAACATTAAGTTATATATTTGCTTTACTAAGCCTAAGAAGGATCAAAAGCAGGATCTGCATTTACATAGAACTGGTCAGATTTCTTGAAACAAATCCAGAGCAACCCAGTCTTGAGCAGCCAAAGAACACAGAGCAGGGAAAGAAAATATTGGATTAGGAAATACCTTTTAAAATTCCAGGGATGTGGCAGCTTCTTGTTGAAAGCACAGGACACCTGTTGAGAGGTTTTTTGAACTTTGCTCCTGTGAAAGCAGCAGTGGAGTCACAAATCCTCGTGGTTCACACCTCAAGGCAGCAGTGGCTGGTGCTGGCAAGAAGCCCTAAAAAGCCCTACTCTGGTTTTTGATTTTTGCTTTTTTACTGTTCCTTCACCTGCTCTAATCCACCTTTACCCTCTTGTCCTTTCTAGAACAATAAAACTCCAGGAATCTTTTTTTTCTTTCTTTTTTTTTTTTTTTCAGAACACTCATAGCAAGACAGGGAAGTAATTCGTGCTTATAAATCTCAAGACAACTAACTCTAGGGCATAAAAATGCAAATTACTGATGCTATCAGGGGGTTGAAATTGGCTGCCATATAACCATGTATTTTGTGAGCCCTAGCACAAACTACTTTGTTGACTTCTGGAAAATAGCTTTCCATGATCTCCTAGTAATTACTACACATCTGAATGACCCTATTACTCTCACTGTATTTTCAATCACTGATTTTTATTTCCTGTCACTGACTCCCATTCATCATCAGCTGCTACTTCTCATTTCTTTAAAACTCCTAAGTATTTTCTTCTCAGATGCTTCAGCTTTTGCAAGGGCTCATCATTTATCCCATTAAACCCCACATTTCTTATAACAAATGTCCTTTCTAGATAGAATTGTACAGGCAGAGGGAAGAACTCTGAGACTGAAGTGAAGCAGGTCCACAGTTTTAAAACGAATTTACAGGTTCCTGAGAGAATTTGTCTGAAAACTGTGTGTTTTAAACTTAACTGAAGTCACATGAGCAGATTTAGATGCTGGAGAAGTTCTGGAAAAGCTCATGTAAGGGGAATTAATAAATTATTTTTCCCCTTCAGACATAACAGAACGAGGTTAAAAACAACAGGTGCTTGTTTGCTTCCTATTTTACTTTCTCCTTGACTCTAAGTAGTTAATTCAGAGAGATGGCAATAAACAGTTCACTACCAATGAAGTCAAAACCTGATTTCAAGATTTTCTTGCAGAATGTGTGGGGAAAATGTGGCTAAATGTGACCTAGCAGCTAATTACAGCCTTGCTTTGCTTTTAGTCTTGCTGATGCCATACACACTCCCACTCTTGATGAACACAAGAAATTATTCCTAGCCATCTACTAATGAAGATCCAAGTGCAAATGCACCCCCTGCCTGTGTGGGCAGCTGTGGTTGTGGTCTGGTTATTTTATTTAGGGATTTTTTCCCCGGTAATAAATGGACTGACAGCAGCCCACAGAAGCTGACAAATGGCCAGTGCAGCTTCCCAGGGCTGGGGATGAGGCCAAGTCCTGCTGCAGTGGAATTTCTGCCACCAGCTTCAAGGGGACTGGAATTTAACTTGTTATCCATAAAACTGAGAAAATATCAAGCAGATCCTTAGGCTGGAGTAAGGAGAAAGTTGCTGCAGTAGTTGGAGAGCAGTTGTGAATATAAATGAACTGGTACCCATGAAAGATATTGATCATTCAATATAACCTGGAACAGAAATCTACCTTGGAAAAGAGCTGGGAGGAAAGAACCTTAAAGAACCTTCACACTTCAGGAGTTCCCAAATTTCCTCCTCTGTCTTTCATGCTCTGGAGACAATTTTTTGGAGTGTAGGCCTGACAACTTCAACTTGTTCCCTCTCTCTCGACCCCCAGAACTGGAGCCACATAAAGCTCTTCTCTGCTTTTTTGACCTCCTTTTATCACCATCAGATTTCCTGCAGACCTGCTCAAGTTCTAATTTTAAGTGTTGATTTGCTTAATCCTGTCCTCTCAGGACATTTTCCTATATTCCCTCATTATTTTTGCTGCTTCACTGTTCTCACTTCTACCTGTGGAGGTTGTGAGGAAGTTATAACCCACCCTAAGAGAAAAGTGAACATTGAATTTTGTGGAGTGAGAAAGTACAGCCAATTGCCAGGGAGACATTTTCTTTTACCACATTCCCATTTTTCTTCTGGCATCATGAGAACCTATGTAAAAAAAGTATAATAATTAAAAAAGCAATGAAGAGAACTCCAAATACCTGCAAGAATAACAATGATAACTTCTGTAAATATCAGAATATCTCCTCTGGTTAAAAAAGATCTTTCCTAGACCTGTTCTGTATCTCAGCACCCCTCAAATGTGACCACTCCTCTTAAAAAGAATGAACACAAAAAAAACCACCTGAAAACTGCCAGTAAATGGAAGCAGTTTTGGCAGAGTCTAGGGGCTAACACACGACTGAGGATTGCATCTGGGCTTTTGACAAAAATTGTTCTGACATAAAGAGTATAAACAAAATGATTTGCAGCTCTACAATTTTTACCTTTTATTTTCTTCCTCCAGAATTTTCTCAGCTTTTCACTCATCCATTACTTTTTGTTCTTAATCACTGTCAAATTAAAGAAGTATCATTTTCCCACAGCTGAAATATTATATGAGTATTCAGCCATTCATTCCTGTGCAGCCACTCTCAAGAACTGGATTTCTCTTCCCTTTTCCTCAGCTCCTGAAAGCCTGATGCAGGCTTTGGAAGATCTGGATTATCTGGCAGCGCTGGACAACGATGGAAACCTCTCTGAATTTGGGATTATTATGTCAGAATTCCCCCTGGATCCTCAGCTGTCCAAGTCACTGCTGGCTTCGTGTGAATTTGAGTGTGTGGATGAGATGCTCACCATTGCAGCCATGGCCACAGGTACTCCAGGATCACTGCAGGCCTTGTGCCACCTGCCCAATCCAGACTCTATGCACAAAAGCAAATTTTTTTTAATTCTTATCCTGCTTATTTCAAGTAAATTAATATATTTGGCTGTTCAAGTCCTAACTGTAAGGATACAATGAAAGCTAAATAAAGAATTCCCACAGAGAATCCAATTTCCAGGCTTCAGCTGCCCATTGGCTGCCTCCCTTTTGTCAGAAACATCCCTTCAAAATGAAACTTTCTTATATTAACCTACATTTTTTACAGATTGGTGCAGCAAAATAAGGGAAGTTCTAATTATAAAACAACACTGAACTGTTTGCCTACAAAGGATTACTTTTTGATCTTGTCTCTCTACTGCAAATATTTTATAAAACTGACATAACCTTGAAGTCCTGGGCAGCAAACACATGAACCACAGGATATCAAGCTGTATGAGTTGTTCTCCTTGTAGGACAACTTTTTATGCCCAAACTGGGTTGATTTTTAACTTGTGATAGTTGTTGGTTTTTTTAAGTATATATAACAAATGTAAATGATTGAGCATAGTCACAATTCAATTTTAGAAAAGCTCAACCATCTCAAAAGACACAAAAGTAAAATGCACTGGAAAGCACAAATTTCAACACAGAAGAGCAAATTATGGCATTAAAAGATGCCTTTTTATAATAAAGAAATAATCTGTTGGATTCTGGCTAAATTAGGTTGTGACATTAGGAAGCTTTTTTGGCATCAGCCTGGGAGAAAGCTGCTCTTTTGTGTTTGCAACACAAATTAACTAAACAGGACTGGAAGGACACCCACAAAAATAAACCTTTAGTGAACGCAGCAGGTTCAGTTCTTCAGCACCGATCCAACAGAGGGGGGTTAAAGGCAACCAAGGAAGGAAAAACCCAAAAACACCAGTGGGGTTTTGTGCATGCACCTCTGTGTTTTCATCACTGGTTTTTTCCTCAGCTCCCAGCTGCTTCCTGCACGCCCCTCCTGGCACAGAGGAGATCGCTCGGAGCCGCTGGCGCCGCTTCTCCCACCCTGCAGGAGACCACTGCACCCTCATCAGTGTCTTCAACGCCTTCAAGGCAGCCACTGCCAACCCCACACAGCCAGGCAAGTGGGCCCAAGCCAAAATCAAGCACTCTGGGATCTGTTTGGAAAAAAACAAACCTAAAAATCTAGTAATTTCTTCTAGAATTGCTGATATGTAGGGAGAAATCTATGGGAGTAGCTATTGCTGATGAATATTAATTTACTGATTAATTCAAAGTGTCCTAGGACAGTGTCTCTTAGCCAACAGGGATCCATAACCACTATTCCAACAGTCCTTTGAAGTGGCACTGAGCAAAACCAGAATGGTGGTTCCTCCTGTAGAAGCACAAAATCCAAGTTTGGGATGAGTAAAAGCTGTTGAGGAAGGCCCCGAATCCCCCAACAGCCCAACAATTCTGGTGGGTTTTTGATAGCTGTGAGCTGAAAGGAAAATTTAAGGGGGAAATGGAAAGTAGTAAAGTCTACATTTGCGGGAACACAAATAAAAACCAGGGGACTGCAGAGCAGCAGAAGCTCATCACTGCATTTTCCTGTGCTCAAGCATCCTGCTCCGGTTCATTTAGCCCGAGTCCAGTGCTCAGACCGCAGAGGGATAAATTTGCACGCATTGAGTAAAAACTTGAGACAGGAAATCAGGATTGTTTCCTGTTCAGTCATGTGGAATGCTGAAGGGAGCTCCAGGAGAACCAGTGCTTTACCTGAATGCAGGATCAGCACCAGCACTACAGGTGTGATTTCAGCTCCATATCCTGGCCTGAAAAATACAATTGCTACTCATTCTCTGGGAAGTTTTACTCATAACACAGTAAAGAAGGGATTTGATTCAGGAAGAAATAGCTGCAATTCTATAAAACTAAGTGAGGATATCAAGAATTGCCCACTTACTTTGTGAGCTGAGCCTAAGCTATCTGTATCATTACCAGAATTCTGGATATTTTCTGCAGCAGTGCAAGAGCATTTATTTCACAGAGCAGCACCTCTGTGGATTGCACCCATCAGTGAGATTTTGCTTTAAGCCAAAACACTGTTTTTTCCTCCACAGACTTCAGCACTGAGAAATGGTGCCGTGAATATTTCCTGAGCTGCTCTGCTCTGAGCATGGCGGAGATGATCAGAGCCGAGCTGGTGGAGATCATGAAGCGCATTGAACTTCCCATTTCAGAACCAGACTTCGGATCAGAAGAAAATCTACTAAGCATTAAGAAAGCTCTTTTATCTGGGTACTTCATGCATGTAAGGAAAAGCACTATGGTTTCATTTTCCTGCACTGTTCAATTATCTGGAATGCTTTCAGAAAACTTAAGTTCATTAGTGAAATCTCTTGATCACCAGAAAGGATAAAAGACTTTTTTTTTTCCCATTGTATCAAACACTTCCGCCCATTTCAGCCTTTTCTCTGGGGTTCATCTCTGACTGCATGGAGTTCACACTCTCCACAGCAATAAGAAAACTGCCAATATGCTTTTCACTCAAAGAACTCTTCCACCTCAAGAAAACTCTTGAATGTGCAATATTCTTTCAGGAATTCTTTCCTTTTTGAAGGTGAAAATTGCCTGGAAATAGAGAAATGACTTGGATATATTTAGGTGTGCATAACAGACAGCTTGTCTCATCTCAGGAAGGCACTCTAACTGCAATTGTAAATGTAAACTAGATTGATTTATTCCCACTCTAGCCCCCAGGCTTTCCTTCACATCCCCGTGCTCCATCTAAAAACAAATATGACCTCTCCCAACTGCACATTTCATGGCCTGACAGATTGTATTTAAAAGTCTATGAAAAGTGTATCTGCTGAAGAATAAACATTTATATGTTTTCACACAGACCCTTCAAAGCCAAACTCAAGATACTTTTGTACTTATTTGTTGCAGCTCCCTTTCAAATACAGAACATTTTAAGTCTCATTTCAGGGTATTCAATCCCAAACTTTCCCACACAAACTTGGGAAGAGGTTCCAGTTGAAAGTATCTGAAGGGAAGTTTAATTTCTGGTTTAAAACTAATAAGCACTGATTAATTAAATAATGGATACCTCTCCTCATTGTTTTGTTTTTTCTAGATTGCTCGTGATGTGGATGGCTCAGGGAACTATTTAATGTTAACACACAAACAAGTGGCCCAGCTCCACCCCTTCTCATCCTACTACAACAGCAGGAGGATTCCAGAGTGGGTTTTATTCCACGAGTTCAGCATCTCAGAGGGCAATTCCATCAGAGTTGTCTCCGAGATCTCCCCTCATCTGTAAGTGAACTGTGATGCAACTGCTCCTTCACTCCTAAATCCACAAAAGCATCACTTTGGGAGGATAAAAAAATAAAAAGGGAAGATCTGTGGTCTCAGGCACTCACTACTCTCAGCAGTTGCCAGTGTAAGTGTAAGCAATTGAAAAAGCCCCCATTATGAGCTACAAAAGTTTCTTACAAAGTGGAATATACGGAAAAAAAAAAAAATCAGAGTTAACAGAGCAGTGTACTCACACATGAATCCAGCTGGAAAGGTCTTTGTTCCCTGAAAACCTGTTTTCCAGCAAATCCTTTTCTTAACATTTTTTCTGTACCCAGACAGCTGAACCATGGACTGCTCATGGATTCCGGGAGAGATCAGTCTTCCTTCTGCAAAAATCTCTTTACACAAAGAATATACATTTCACTCTCCCAGCTTTTCTATTTCCCATGTTTATAGGAGGTTTTTTTTCATAATGTTATTGAACCACTCTGTTCTAAAGCAGGGAAATTTAATGCAAACATTGGGAACTGCATTGCACCTCAAGTGCAGGCTGAGGATTTCCAGTGCAAGGCTACAGAAAGCACAAACTCCTACTACATCTTGCAGAGAATCTTGGATTCTTGCAGAATTTTGGGCTGAGATATCAACTTTGTAACTTCTTTTAGATCTGCCTGGAAATAATTATTCAAATATTTGAAAATTCTATTAAAAATTAATAATGTTTTGTGTGATTTCCTCCCCAGATTTGCAGAGCTGGTACCTCAGTATTATTTCAGCAATCTTCCTCCAAGTGAAAGCAAGGATATTCTGCAGGAAATGATCGATCACTTGGCACCTGTTTCAGCCAAAAAGGAGGAACAGAAAATTGCCAATGACAGCAAAGAAAATGAGGAATTTCCCCAAACTCCCACTGAGCAGAGATGTGTTATTCAGTGAATTTAGAATGAACCATCACATATTGGACAACAATAAATAAAAGCAATATATCCAAAATACATCCCTGCTTTAACCCATGTCATTATTTTAAACTTTTGACATAAATGTATTTAACAGAAGAAATAAAGAAAAAGCACTTTTCTCAACAAAAGGAGTTGTATGCATTCTTTTGGAACAAAACCACGTGATTTAGCTTTGGTTAAAAAAACATTGAACAGATGTTTGGGTTTTCTTTTGACACTAGGTTTTTATTGACTGCTTCATGATGACATCAAAGTAAAATAAGATGCAATATTTAAAAACACTCATTTGGTGGATATTTTTGGTTGCACAAAACCGTTGACTCAACAGCAGTTCTGCAAATATTGTGAGGTCACAGTCCTGCACAGCTGCTCTATAAAATCCAGGTGTTTGTAGGGAAGCTCAGAGTGAGAGATAATCTTTGAGTTTATCCATAATTCCATGAATTCCATCAGCTGGGACTACAATAACTGTCCTCAGAGGCTTCATTGGTACATCATCAAAGGACCATCTGCCACCCAGACAGGTGTCACTTTCCTCTTGCACAGAGTAGCTGAATTTCAGAAGGGCTTTCTAAACAACAGAAATAAAAGCATTCAGATAAAAATGTTTAATTAGCATGAAGATAATACATTATTTAAACAAAATGAAAATAATGAACCTATTACGCCCATGCTTATTAAGTTTTTTCCCTTCTTGAAGTGTCCACCAAAAAGAACGACTGAAAAATCCACTGTTTAAAGTGTCTTAAACAATTTTCTTTTCACAGAATTTATATCATTCATATTAAATCCTATAATGATTGCTAGCAATCATTGGGATCAGAGAAACAACCCAGGAGGGATGGCAAAAAAAAACAACTAAATCAATGTTCTGAGGCTCTGCTGCTTTCAGGGCCTACTCTTAAAACTGCCCAGAGTCCTAAAAATTAACCAAACTGTAAGAATATGAGTAGAAATCAAATATTAAAGGGATGGGCACCAATATGAATCCTGAGAAGAATTTCAGAAAGCTCTTGGAAAGGTTCCAGATGGCTGGAGCAATTGGAAGATCTATTCATGCTTCTCCAAACAGGCAGGTGTCTAGAGTGTGCCTGATTTCTTTTGAGGGGTATAAACCCCACATAGAAAGTCCCTTTTCATCAGCTTTCCTAGACAAAACTCCTGATGGATAAGAAAAACAACCTAATGAATGTTTCCAGTTCTCACACAAGTCAGATTAAGAACTTGGAGCTGAACAATCAAGTAGAAAAAACATACCTGACTCCTTCCCTTTGGGGGAAAATTAAGATCCACTCTCTTTTTAGGTTTGCTTTCCACTAACTATATCAAGGCTTTAAATCTCATTTTGGATGAATTACCACATTAACTGAGTGGCTTTGCTCAAGAACAATTTGAGCACCTTTAATCAATTCCAAGTCTGGTTATAATAGATTTTCTGGTTATAATTTTAAGGAACAGAATAAAGCCCAGGGCAGTGCCAAGTGCAGGAAAAGGCTTCTCTCAGTTTGATATGGCTCCAAGTGCCTCACCACATTTAATGCTATTTTATGGCAATCTAATTAACATTATGTGTGATCAGGGAGGACAGACACTCAGCACTAATTTAACACACATATTATTAAGTACAGAAAGACATTTAATTTAATACCCTACATAATGTTTAAAATGAATTGTTTTTAAACACTGGAAAGACTGTTAAAGAGAAAAACATGCTCAGTTTGAGTCTATCCTTTTGAGCTGAGAACTACTGGAGTTTAGATTAAAGCACACAATTAGCCTTTAATAAATAACAAAGCTGAGATAAATAAATACAAAATGGGCCTTCTAGAACAGAACACCCACGGACACATGAGCATCACAGGCTTCTCCCCAGCAGCTTTTCAATAACATTTTAGACAGAGTTCAGCTTCAGCTGTTTCAGTTGCTGTGGCAGGAACACAAAACCAAAAATCCCCAACTTGCTACTGCACAGAGGCTACAACACAATTCCCTACAGCTACCAGTGAATTCCCCCACTTATATCTCTCTCCTTCACAAGAAATAAAGTTACAGCCCTATCACAGCCTCTGTCAGAATGATTACACACAGGAGCCTTTGCCATTAACCACCCCATGCATGTGCAAGTCCTTTGCCCTGCAGGCACTGCCAGAAATGAAAAATAACAGTCTCCTGACAAAGTAATAATACTGTACAATAGTGCTTTTAAAGCTTTGGGAACCAAAAAAAAAAAAATAAAAAAAGAAACCATGAAAAATTCTTTGCATTTCAACGCACATTTTAAAATTTAATTTCCTGCATTTTCCCCTCACCTGATCTGGCTTGGGACCAGCAGAACTGTGTGGCCAGGTTGCCTTTGGAAATGGAAAGTTATATTTTCATCCCAGTGTTCAACCACTTTTTATTTATATACTTGCCCCAAGCAGAATAGAGACAGAAAAGGGAAGCAAGAGCCACTTCTTAGGAGCTCTGTAAGTTTTTATTCCGAGCATTTTTTGCAATTAACAGGTACCCAGAAGGAAACAGATAAATCAATACGCAAAAAGAGCTTGATTGCTCCTCTCTCAACACTACTCCAAAACACCCTGGATTTATTTTAGAAATATTTATGATCATCTTGATAAAAGCTCCCCTTGAATTTGAGGTGAAACATCTCTGGTTGATGATATGTAAAGAAAAAGAAGCATTTTAAATTAAATTATCACGTTACCTCATAAAAGAATTCTTCCTCTGCATTAGCAAACATTAATTCCTCCTTTGGCTGATTTCTCCCTTCCTTCCTCTTAGAATTGCTCTTTGCTGCTTCTGTAAAGGTCTTGCTGATAAGGAGGTAATAGTGGCACTTTCCACAGGGCTTGTTTGTTCTCTGTGCCTCAGTCAGCTCCTTCCTAAAGAGGAATAAATGTTTACACAAATTAAATCCTAAACAAGCGTCTAAGTAAACCTTACAATGTATTGGTATAGAAGGGATATTCAAATTACTGCCTATTCTTTTATGAGTACCTCAGAAAATCCATTTTGCAGATGCATTCCTGGTACTTAAACGTATTATTTGTATTTTAAACTATAAAAATAGGGATGTTTTTTCCACAGGTCACAGGATAACCCTTTTTCCCAGAATCCTGTTCATGGTAGAGTGTCTGTGCAATGATTCTAAGTGCAGCTCTCCTTAAAAATACATCACATTATCCCTTTCTTGAGGAATTGGAACTGAAGAGACAGAAAATACTCTTGCTCACCCTTGTGTTCAACATGTTTTCACTCCAAAACCTTTAAGACAAAGAGGCTGAGATCTGAATTTGAGCTGTACCTGTGGTGACCTCAATCTGACTTCTAGTCTCATCTGACATGAGAGGAAAGACAAAAATGAAAGAAGAAAAAAATATGATCTCCATTCTATTACTGGCTCCTTATCCACCAAAATTTCCTTGCTCCCAGTTCTCAGCATGGCAGTAAAACAATGTAATGCTGTGTTTCAGTGGATTAATTTGTTTACATTCACAACTTTTGATATAATCCATGAATTGGCAGAGATCAACCAGCACTTCTCCTGCTTTTTCATTACTTGAAACTAATCAGAACACTGCATATTAACATGGGCCAACACTAATTCACCTTTTAATCCTTTCCCTCAGTCCAAATCTCCCATTTCAGTGCCAGACATTAACAGAAACACCCAAGCTGCTCATTATCAGCATGCTAAAAAAGTTCTTTTTTAATTTTTCCTAGATCAGTGTGAAAATAATCTGCAATACAATAAACTGCAACATACACACAGCTCCTTCTGTAAAACACCATGTGTTCTCAAATTTTATCCTCTACAGAAGTTGAGAAGTTTTGTACCTTTATAAAGATAGAAAAAATATTCTAAAGAGTAACTAAAGAGCTTATATAAGTTTTTTTGTTCATGCTTTACCTGTATCTATAGCATCAACTTTCTTAACACAGCTCTATATACTTAAGAGTTATGAAAAATATGAAGAACAAAATACCATTCAACATCATGCAAGAAAAAAAAATACAAACAAACTTACTGGAGCTGCTGGTGCATGGGCAGAGCAATCTGTGGAGGGACATTGATGAACCTTTCACTCAGGATGAGCCCCACAGGCTTTGTGCTGTCGTTCAGGAGTTTACTCAGCTGTTCCACCACACGCTGCTCACAGCTCTGCTCACAGTGACTCAGAAGAAGCTCTTTGATTTGCTCAGCACACTGGGTGCCCTGCAATCAAAAGGTGCATTTTCTTTACCTGATACAACAACTACTTACACAAGAAAATGTCAACCTTGAATGTCAGCCTCAAGGGAACTTCCTACAGGCCTGGTGGTAATTTCCCTCAGCAGCCTCTAAAGCCCTGCACAACTGCTTTGAAATCAGTGTCCAGCACTAAAGCTCAGGGCAAACAAAGGTTGTGAAGTGATGGTAACAAGGAACTGCAACACCACAGCAAAACTCCAAACTGCAGAAACTCAAAGGGAATAAATACAAGAGACTCATAGCTCATTTGCCCTGGAATTACTAGGCCCAGTTTTAACTCTCTATTCCATTCTTTGCTTCATGTTTGACCCTCATCAAGTTACTGCATTCAAAAAAAGCTAAGCCACTTCAAGTTTGATAACCCCAGTCCTCTACAGAGGAATTCCAAATCCTGGTCCAGCTGTCCAGGCTTCTTACATAGGATGCAATCTCATTTATTACTGATGCTAATATTTACAACCAGATGTTACTGAGGAATACCAACCTTCCTTTCTGTTAAGTTCAAGCAGCTTATAAAACCAAATACTTCATCATCATCTTCTTCATCATCACTACTGTCTTCCTGCACTTCTGCTTGCTGTTGAATGAAAGGAAAAGCAACAACTCATATTGACATTCTATTTCCACTCTGTAGCAAAAGATGTTTTTCTTTCTAGGTGGTAACAGCAGATGAAAACCATCGAGGAAATCTGTACAAACACACACTGCAAATTTTGCTGCAT